CAGTTGAACGCCCTACTGAGGCACCAGTAAGTACTCGGTTTATATGTATAAGAACACAATAGATAAGTATATAGGAGATTAGGCCGGAGAAATGTTTTAGGTGGCACTAGACTCACCACTATTAGAATAAAACTCTTACGTGTTCGTATACGTGTATATTACTACACTTATTACTTAGTACATAACAGTACATTTCCACTTAGCTATTAGCGCGTGCGGGCACGTCCTTCCTACCTACCTACGTACCTATGCTGAACTGAACCATCATAACATAATGAAAATAAATTAAGTATTTCAAATTAATATTTTTTTTTCAGGGAGGTGCAAGATATAGGCCATAGAATAATAGATGTGAACTATTTTGTAACAGAACTTGTAAAATTCTCCGAACACAAGTCTTTGTTTAATTGTGGATTAGCCACATTAAAATTAGAGTCTGAATATCGCGTAGGCTTGCAATCTGAATTTACATATGTTTGTTCATTGTGTGGTTACAAAAATAAAATAAAATCGTCATTGGCTGATGTAAACAAAGACGCCGTTGCTGGAGTTCAGCTCAGTCAATTTTTGTCTGGAGTAGGTTTACCCAATATATCTGATTTCACATACAATAAAATGCATAATGATATCTGTGATGACTGGGAAGAGACTGCATGGGATGAGATGAAAAAGGCTGGCGAAAGAGAAAAATAAGCTGCAATAAAGGAAGGAAGAGTCAATGATATATATAATAAAGACGGTATACCGCTAGTAGATGTCATTGTAGATGGCTGCTGGTGTAAGCGATCTTACCGGACTAATTATACCGGAAATTACTATCAACTGTTCAGCGAAAAGTTTATGGGACAAGCCCCAGATTGTCCATAAAAAAGCATGAAAATGCAATAAATGAAAAAATACTCAAGGCCAAACTCAACATTAGAGAAAAAATCGTACATTGGTACCAAGAACGCTAAATTTGGATTATGGCGAAGTAGTCGACAAACCAGACTTGGACAAAGATACTTTAGAAAAGGCAAAAAAGACTTTTGTACAAAATTTATTAAAAACGAATGAAGAACGGAAAGAAATCGAAAAAAGGACCATCCTACAAAGTAAATCTGCAGAATGGCTTGAACTACGTCGCAACATGTTAACCGCATCAAATTTTGGCAAGGTTATAAAGAAAAAGCAGACGAATTCTTGCCAAAATATAGTAAAAAATTGGCTTTACAAACCCAGCATCGACCATTTTCAATCTATTAGTCACGGAAAAAAATATGAAAAAATAGCACTCGAGCAACTAGCTTCAATGCATTAAATAAAAAAAAACCTTTTTGGGTGCTACACCTGGTGGGATCACCACAAGTGATATGATAGTGGAAATCAAATGTCCTATTGCACCATTTAAAAACGGCATAGAAGACGCAATACAAAATAAAAAAATGCATTTTTATAAAAACGAAAATGGTGAGGTGGTTATTAACCAAAGATGCGACTGGTATTTTCAGATACAAGGCCAACTTCATATCTGGAAAAAAAATTGCTGTTTGTTGGGTATATGGTATGGCTTTAATAAAATAAAAACTGAGGTTATTGAAAAAGATGATGCATTCTGGAAAAAAGAGATGGAACCAAAGTTGTTAAAATTCTATTACGACTGTCTTCTTCCCGAACTTGTCGACCCCAGGCACACCAGGAATAAGCCAATTCGTGATCCGGATTACGTGATTGTTCATAACAATAAAAAGGCTGTGCCCGATACTTGCAACGAACAATTAGAAAATGCAACTATTTCGCAAAAAAACCATAACAAGGAAAATACTGATTCAACTTGCTATGAACAATCAGAGGCTAACACTGAATATGAGGCTGATAATTATATTGAAAATTTCAGCCATGTTGTTACATTTTCAGAATTTTAATTTGTTTTGTTCTTAATTTTTTTAATTACTTCTTATTACGATAGTAAATATTGTATACATAATATGTGTTTTATTACACACACACACACACACACACAATATTTATATATAATATAATTTAATAAATTAATATAATTTAATACTTACTATGAAGGTTCCACCCCTTTCTTTTTCCTGTGCGGAAATCCCCTCGGATACCAAAAGACAAGCAATAAAAAAAAAATTGATAGGTAAATCATAAAAAAAATATAAAGACACTCCAAGGATGTCTTTGTTCCGCGCCACCGCGGCTCGCAGTCGCAATCCACGTTACTTAGCGGCGTGTGTGCGGGTTGCGGGGCGCTTGTGCCCGGTTTTAGAATTATTGTTTATCAATTCGTCGCCTTAACATTCGATTTGCTCATTAAATAAAAACTGTATCGAGCATAAACGATGAGTGCAGTTTAGATATTTTAATTTAATTCGAACGTTGTGTGCGAGTTACGCACACACCTGCGCTCACACACGTACGTGGATGTTGTAACACAGCACTTTATAGCTGACATTTCAGTAGTGTTCAGATTTCTAGCGTATTATTTTACCTGAGGTTCATTGTTATTCCTATAAAATTTTGTTTTGAATCTACTTTATTGTTTTTTTTCCATGTATTTTACATTTAATGATACGACCTTCAAACCTTCAAGAAAAGAGCGTGCTCCTTCCTCAAAGGCTGGCAACGCGCTTGTGACTCCTGAGTTGAAGGCGTTCATGGGCGGCGGTAGTCGCTTTCCATCAGGTAACTCGTCTGCTCGTTTGCCCCCTCTTCCATTTAAAAAAAACATATGTGCTTAATATGTGTATTTAATAAGGAAAAAAAAATCATTATCGTTTTAAACCGCGGTACGGTGTAGCGGTACGAAGTAGCGTATTTGCTTTCATCGAATCATATATTATCATATATTATCATATATATGATACGTTTTGCATATTTCACATTAGTAGGGAATATGGTCTGGACTATACTAAGCAAAAGCAGGTGGTGTGTGGATTATATATTCTTTCAGGTTTGGGTACAAGGGGTGCTCTACTACAGACTGGGTTTCGCTGGCTGGGAAATCTAATAAAAAAAGACCTAAGGGCAGTCCTTCCCATTTAAGGCTTAGGTATCTGTCGAAATATGACTTGAGTAGAAATATAAAAAAATGCCTTTGTAAAAGTAAGGAAAAGGACTCCGGGTATTATCAGATGCAACTTGATGTTCTTTTATGTTTTACAGTTGACAAGTTTTCTTCTTAATTTTTTCTGTTTTGTTTTTGTCCGTGCATTGTGTTCCATTTTGTATATTTCCAAAGGAACTCGCGCTTTCTATTCCAGGAAAACTTAATACTGCGACCAATTTTGGGTTTTACTTTTTAGATATTTTAACTTTCATATTTGGGCAGCATAACTTGTAGTACCTAAAATTGAAATTTCTCTGGAAATAAATTACAAGCATTATTTCAGTTTTAGGGGCCGATCCCGAGCTTAGAGGACGTCTGCGGCGATACCAGCCGTCGACGGGGCCGCAGGCTGCCGGAGGGAGATTAACTGCCGCGGTAGGCGATAGGACGGCGGCCTGGTCGCAAAAATTCGATCGGGACGCAACGTATTGTAAGGATTGGGCCGAAAGGCGTGGGAAGCCCGCAGCTACTCCGGAATAGGGCTTTACGGGCGCGGCGTCGATCGGGGATATCTCCTACGGGGTATACGAGTATAATAATTGAGTGAATTCACAATAACAGCATTAAGAATTATTTCTTATAATAAATAAGTAGGTGGTATAACACTATTGCATTGGGCTAAGCCTGTAAAAATAGTTGTTTTTAAAGAAAATAAATAAATAAATAAATAAATAAATAAATAATATATACTCGTATACCCCGTAGGAGATTTTTTGAGTTACAGTTACAATAGTAGTATATAGTAGTTTTTTTTAGAATACTGCGATAACTCTGCAATGTTACCAGGTAATAATAATAATACTGTGGAGGAACGGGTGTCATGTCCCTCCAACACAAAGGGAGGATCCTCCGACCAGGCGAGGTGATCTTGCCTGGCGGGCCGCGGCCCAACGGTTGATGTTGAGATATTGTATATATGCTAATCGGCGAGGGAATTCTTTATATCGCGATACAGGATTAGCAATTCTTATTTTTTAGTAGTTACTCCGTAGTTCGGTGTGTTTTCATTTGATGGCGCTGTAGTATGTTTCTGTTTCTTTGTATGTGGTAGTCGCCACAATACATTTAGGCATTTTACTTTTCCTGCCTGGCGTAGCACATGTTTTTTATACGTATTTATGGTTTTCATCGATGTGTTTTTTTTATGCAAAACAAAATCAATTCTGTATCAATATGACAAAGCTTACACAGAGAAAGGTAGTATTACCACAAACGATTAAAGGTTCTCATGATATTATGGCGAACAACCTGTTTTTTAAAGGTAAACTCTATTTTTATAATAATAATGTGCCTCACATACGGCCGTCTGATCCAAACTAGGCAGAGCCTGTGCTATGGTAACCAGACTGCTGATAAACATATTTATATTTTTTTAAATACACACATATTAAAGATAAATTACACCCAGACCAGAACAAATGACCGTGCTCATCACACAATATTTGTCCTGGGTTGGAATCGAATTTCTGGCTTAGCAGTCAGGGCCACTACCCACTAGACCAACAGGCCCGTCAAGGAGTTCTGCTCTGTGCACTATACAACTACTACAAAACACTTTACGCAAGAACAGATGATTTCCGATGTTTTATCTACAGAGCTGCGGTTGTGTTATACGTTTAGTGTAAGTTTTTTGTCTAATAACGGGCAAATGCAGACGCAATTTCTAAGGTGTATTTATTAATTATGGAACGTGAATGTTTAAATGTCAGTAAAACATTATCTTCTAAACTTTTTACTGGAATGCACCTTTAGATTTACTACAAAAACTTAACAACTTAGTTATAAAAGAAAGACATTAAATATTTTGTTGCAATAATAAATATCGATAGCATATATTTGTCTTATTTACAATTCCAGTATTTTTTATATAATTCAAATTACTTTTCCAAAATTAGTTTCAGCCAGTACTGTCGCAAACGCTGGGATAGTTCTTGCTTTTCTCACAAATAAATGCGTATTCATTTTCACACCACAGATCATTTAGATAAGCCGTGCGATAAATTGCCCCACAATATTCTCCTGTGGTTGAATTGTTAGGTTCTCCAGGCGAAAATCTGGCATATCCAGCTTCATTGAGGGTTTGACCTGGTGACATATAAAAATGTATAACAAATGTATGTAGTTTTTTTTTAAATATTCTACCACATTCACAAAACGACATTTAGTCCCAAACTAAGCAGACCTATGGCTATGGCTACTAACCAACTGATATTAATACATTTATACTTTTTTTTTGTAAATACATACTTATTATACAATGAAACACCCAGACCAAATCAAACATTAAATGTTCATGCACACAAATGTTTGACTTGAGCGGGAATCGAACCCGCGATCTTTGGAACAGCAGTCCGGTACACAAACCACTACGCCATCCGGTCGTCACACGTCACGTCGGATTCAATCACGAACGATTAAAATTTTCATTCGTCACATTTCTTAAATATTGTTATAATTGTCTAAATCTTATTAATACATTATTCTCTCCATCATTTATCACAACACTCAAAATAATGATAGATAGATTTTAAGGTACGATTTCAGTTTTAAGCAACTGATAAACTAGTAGGTACTCCAGAAGCCGAAAGAGCCTAAGTTCACACATATAATAATATCCACTAAAAAACTAAATACACACTACAAGAATTTCAGAAATTTGTTACTTGTATTCATCACACATCAACAGCCTTTAATAGTCCACTGCTGGACATAAGCCTCTCCTTAGAAAAGAGGTTTTGGCCTACTATACCACGCTGGCCAGACGTGTTGGTATCGGGATTGTGTCAAGTTTTCCTTCTCTCTGCAGTGCTGTTGTCCTGTGTAGTTTACTCCCTTAGTCGGCTCTTACGACACCCACGGGATGAATAGGGGTGGTGACATTCTGTATTCTATATGGGTGGTGTACTTGTATTCGTTAATCATTAATTATTATTTACCATGAATAGTTCTCCAATCACCACCCTCACCCCAGTTGTGAAACCCAACGAATGCTACATCTTTCCAGAAGTTTCCAACAATTCTAGCTGGTGGGTATTTAGCAAAAAGCTCGCGAAGAACAGTGGCTTCTTGATCACTGTTTATGATTGCCAGGTGACCGCCTTCAGCGCTGCAGGTAAAGTGAGCTCGATGGTAATTTCGTGGAACTGTATGGAGTTTATAACATTTTTTTGTCCGTTTATCGTAGCTGTATTCTGCAAAATAATCATATAGTTTATTACAGTTGTGGTGACTCCCACATACAAAGAAACAGAAACATACTACAGCGCCATCTAATGAAGACACACCGAACTATGGAGTAACTACTAAATAAGAATTGCTAATCCTGTATCGCGGTATGAACAATTCTCTGGCTGATTAGCATATATTATACAACTGCCCAACATCAACCGTTGGGCCGCGGCCCGCCAGGCATGATCACCTCGCCTGGTCGGAGGATCCTCCCTTTGTGTTGGAGGGACATGACACCCGTTCCTCCACAACAGTAATTATAGTATTATAATAAATACCATTAAAATTGAAATAATATTTGAGAAAAGTAGCCTGCTAATAATCAGCTTTCCTCTTGAACAATAAATAATTCGTAAATGAAAATGTTAAAATAGGCAAATTTTGGCTCTAAATTTAGTAGTACAACTAAAAGTAAATAAATTAAAGATAACGTTTACAAACATTATATTTTTATTGAAGGTTTTTTTTCAGTTAGTAAAATTCATTCATACCCAATAACAACCATCTGAAGCATTATTGGCAAAGAAATCGGGTATTACACCTATGTACAAAAAATATTCAGAACAGAAAATCTACACTTTTATTGAAATCGGTAGTCTATAAATATAAATATTTGTAATACTGTGGTTAGTCGAAGAACTATTTATTTTAAGAGCCCAAGTAGTCTACTTCAGCTAAAAGGTGAATTATATATATTATTATATTTACCTGGATCCGGAGTTCCACACTCATCAACTTCACTTTCCTCCTCGGTTTTAGCTCTGAAGCATACATAAGGACGAGGTTCATCACAATCTACATCAATAAATTTACCTTCAGTTTGCAAGGCTAGACAATTTTCTTTGTTATTTTTGTTATCAAGCTGCAATAAAGTTTGGTCTTGAATAATCTGATCAAGTGGTATTCCTGAAAAATCAATCTTTGTTATTATTTTTAAACTAAGATGTTTTTTGAAATACAAATAATGATGACCGTCTAGCAAGATAAGTATTTTTTATTGTTTTTTTTTTCCACTTAAGCAAGTCTAAGAAATCTCTATTCCCGTTTGTACAGGGTTTTGGATTGAACTAAAGATATTCTATGAAATATGATAGATAGATAGATAAATGCTTTTGTACACCTTTTTTTCCGTGCGGAAATCCCCTCGGATACTACCTATCGGTGGCATGTCGGACTCGAACCGACTAAAACCGCACGCCGTCTCGGGTACTAATAGCCGGGGAACCAGGTATACCCTAGAAAGGAAGTCCCTGGTGCCCCGACATACCTCGGATCATCTACAGATGAGTAGACGACCCCCCCCCCCCCCCCGTGTGGGAACCCCATGTTCCCTGTGCTCCCTGGAAGCGAGCGCGCTTCGCAACGCGCTCGCCGCCACCCCGGGTTTATTTGTACACCTGGGTTTTACAGACATTGTAAAGTAATTAACATCAGATGTAATGTACAAAGGGCGGCCTTATCGCTTAGTGCAATTTCTTCCAGGCAACCTTTCGATAGACTGGATTCATTTTGAACTGGTGATAGCTATATAGAAATTAGAGAAATAAATTTTGGTCTTAATCTATGAAATATTAATCATACATAAATCCTATTAATCTATATTTATACATGAATTTTAAGGTGTTTTATGTATCACTAAGTTGCCAATTCAAAAATACAAAATTTGCAGCTAAAGTTACAGATGCTAATAACTGCTTCCTGCTACTAATATGAATAAGATGGCTTTTTCTCAGTTTCGAAGTACAATTAATGCTATCCTGTATATGGCTTACGTACCGTCAATGGTATAATAACTTCCTCTTGAGAAAGTCGCTCGCAGTCCGGTTAAAATCTCACTTGTATTAGCTAATCCAACCATAAATGTACTGAGCTCCGCTGTCGAAGGAGAAGCTAGAATACCACCTGTTGGGGGAAAACCAGAGGATGGAGATTAAAAAAAGAAGGAAAGTACATTGGAGAATATACTTCTCCCACCACAGATGGAAAACGCATTTATTAAAGTAGACTTGCTGGCGGTAGATAAAACTATAGCAGTAGTTAACTAGATTAATTTTTCTAAATAAACATCATTAAAAATTTATTGCTTAACAAGAAATACAAAACAAACTAGCAGCAGTGGACTATTAAATGGTTTTGATGTGATATTATGATTCAATTGGTACCTTCAATTGCACACATCAAACGAGCATCGTTCCATGTTGCTGGCACTTTATGGTGTTTCTGCCATCCCTTAATTTCTGAGCTGTATGTGTAATCACATCGGAACTTTATTCCATCTAAAATAATAAATGGTATTGTTAGTTAAATTCATTCTATATCGATAAATACTACGCCATTTCGTCATAAAACCCCTAGACAGATAAACAACATCTACCAATGTGCAATAACAGTTTTTAAAACACAATAAAAATTCGCGATATCATTTACTACGTGCAGCCATCAAGAGATCATAATCCTGCCCTGGACCAAGAATTATTTTAATTAAATCGCGAGAGACTTATTTGGAAAACCAAATAAACCTTTGGAGTTTCATTTGATTCTAAAATATTTAGGACAAATGTTAATAATTTAATCTCCTTGTTAAAAAAAGTAATTTTAACGTTTTTTCTGCTTACTTAACCAAGAATTAGCAAGAAATTCATCAACTTATTTAAATACTTTATTGTATTCTAATGATTTCGTTCGTCAGCTATATCAAAAGGCAAAATCATTAATATTTCGGCGTAAAGAAGTAACAAACATACTAGCTCCCATTTGTTCAAATTCTCCTACTCTCGTACTCTTCATATTTATTTTTAATATTAGATAAGTAAGTTCAAAGTAACATTGGATTAGTAATTAAGTAAGATTATAAAATATTTTGGTAGCTTAGCAATTTTACATTTATATAATCTGTTTTTAAAATTTTATGTCTTAGGGAATTTTATAATATGTAGTTATTTATCTAAGGTCAAACCCCAACTGTTATTGAATGTGAAATTTTATATTTAGCGGGACAGAGCTTTGTTGAAACACTCTATGGTGTAATTTGTATTTAATATTTTAAGCAAATAAACATGGAAATACCTAAATACCTATACAAAATACAATAAATTTGAGTTTAAAATGCAAAAAAAGTCTTACCTGTAAGAAGAATAAAGGCGAAAAGGGATAGAACACAGCAATGAAATGATAACCTCATCTTAAGTAAGTTTCCTTTAACCTGAAAGACACGATGTACGGCTATTTAAGTGGTTGAAGAGTCACCGATAAAGGTCACAGCGTTTCTCAAGTAATGAAGAAGTCACTTTGAATGTACAAAAATCTGAAGTTACAATGTTTCGCTTTGATCATGACTTGGTTATTGAAGATCAAATATACGAGGACACTCAATTATAAGTGGGGTATTGGACTGAGGTTTTTACAGATTAAATGTGAAGAAGCATAAGTAAGGTCTAAATGCGGAAAACGGAGCCCACAACCAATACCAAGTGCCATGACTTGGAGGCTAGGTTAAATTTAATTACACGTACAGTTCAGTTATACTTATCGGAATTTAATAGTTAATTATTACCAATAGTTAAGGTACATCTCAATCAGCATAAAGGTTCTAGTTGGTAAGAAATCTCCTGTCGCTATGACCTGATGACTGCCAGACAAAGTTATCTGTCGTAATAGCAAAAGCGGGCCTCGATGGTGTTCCGCGCGCGTTTCTCCAAATTAGGACTGTAAAATAGTGCCGTCTATTTTACTCCAGGCGACCAAAGAGCCTGAGATATCGGTCATAAGACCCAGTGATGGAGCACTAAAAGCATATTTTGTATGCTTTTTGCCGAGTTTTTTCCATGAAAAAAAAAACAAAAAAATATTTGCATAGAAACACAAAGAAAATAAATTACAATAGTGCTTAATAAGGCATAAAACACTAGGCAAGCCTGTATCGTGGGGTCCCAGCCAAACGTATGTACATTAGTAATACCTACCTATACCTTAATGTAATAGCCAAAGGTATTACAGTAAGGTATAGAGCTCCTGCACTTCACAATTTTAAACAAACATAGAAAAAAGAACCTTGATAAGCTATATATATATATATGAAATGAATTTGTAAATGGTAATTTTAATTATTAATTATAACATTCTGGGACTTTATTACATGTAGTATAATAAAGTTCCTTGTTTATTGACGTCAAACTAAGCTCAGATTGTACAATATTTTATACAATGTAATAAAAAAAACGTAGGAACGAAATGAAATATTTTATTTTTTTATGAAATATTTACCACAAAAGAGCACAAAAGGTCATTAACATTATGAAAGCAAAATTTAGGGATGGATGTTTGTGACTAAATCACGCAAGAACGGTTCAATAGAACTGAATAAAAGGCATAGAGATTGATCATAGCTAGCTGTCTGAATAGCGTAGGTGGTCTTTTTTTTTACGACAAAATTGATTGTCAGAATCAACATTAAGGCAAGGGGACGTGCAAAAGTTAGCATGTTATACCAAAAAACCGAACAAGTGCGAGTCGGACTCGCCCACTGAGGGTCCCGTACATATTTGTAGGTACATATTATAAACAGTTCAGGAATCAAATCTCGCAGTTTGTTCCGAGCTTTGCCCGAAATTCTGTTTTCAAAGTCTATAATTACTTATATTGTTGAGTTTTATAAGAGAAATTGTACCTTGATGATTGATTACGTACTTTAAATAAAGACTATATTCTTATGATTTATCTACAAATGTTTAGTTATACGATTTTCCCTGTACTTGTAGTATAAGACGGTGTTATTTTCTAAATTTCAGAGTTAAAGGTCAACCGTTCCCTATGAATTTTGATTCCCTTGAGACTGTCGAGTGTTTTTCGCGGCATTTTAACGGCCGTACTTTTTTTTATGTTAACTTAGGAGTTTGATTATTTTACAGCTTGAAGCACCATAGATATGAGTACATGGTTTTAATTTCAACTCGATACAAGACTGACTGTCAAGACTGTCAAGACCCTTTGGGAACGCGTGGAGGCACGCGTTCCCAAAGGGTCTTGACAGACAGACACACGTACGAACAAGAAAGTGATCCTATAAGGGTACCGTTTTTTCCTTTGAGGTACGGAACCCACACACATCAACAGTGTCTCTACTTTCTGCTGTTGGTATCCAGTTTATTCCTGCGATTTACTTAATATCATCATCCGATCTAGTATAGGGTCATCATCATCTTTAATAGTCCCTATACTATACCACGGCCTACTTTGGCCTACTATACTATACCACGTTAGCCAGATGGTTTGGAATAATTATTAATAATAATAATATTTCTAACATCTGACACACAATGGCATCGAGTTACAAACTAAGCAAAGCTGCTTCTATAAAAGCTGGATTTACTGATTGAACTTACTTTTTTTGTAAATACTTACATAGAAAACACCCAAACTCCGAAACAGATATTTGCAGATCATACAAATATTTGATCCGACCCGGGCATCGATCCACAAAGACCTCAGCACAGCAATCGCATACGCTACCACTGCGCTGCGCTACTGAGGCAGGCACACGGGTTTGTTTCAAGTTTTCTTTATATTTGCAGTGGTAATATTTGCTTTATATTTACGACACCCACACCGGATGAATAGGGGTCATGACACTCCGTATTCTTAATCTTTCACCACACGGACATTATTTTTGTTAATAGTATAAAAATTAAAAGATACTCTGTAGTTCAAAACTTTGAGAGCCGTACTGTGTTTAAACTATTTCATGACATGTAAATAGTGTCTGTAATTTGGTCTTAAGTATGCTCTTAAACTATCACTACATCATCAAGATACCGGGCCTTGTCCTTGAGAATTATGACTGATTTACGACCCCTATAATCATAAAGTTTACCTCGACGAATCGAGGAGAGGCCCGTCTCAATATTGGGTACACGTTGCACAACGTAAAATAATAATAAGTAAAATAGGTCTGGTTTGTGGTCACTTGTGACGTCAGGCAATTTAAAGGTATGTACTTACCTACCTAAAGATTGTACCTAAGTCATAAACATGGTTGAGCATGTCCGTATATATTGTTAGCTTGTCAGTACCAAACTACAGCAAGTTATGTAAGTTAGAACGATCAAAAACATGAATTTTGTCGACTACGTTGCGTGTCTACAAAACCTTTCACAGTTGATAAAGATCAGGTTACAGCTAATCGTTAAAAGCCTAACGTTCTCGTCCAGCTAAATTGGGAACAGGTTTTATTCGAGTAATTCTTTCTATAGTGTTAAAAAATTCAAATTATGGGTTATGAATCGGCAAAGGAGTTCGTCATTTATATAATTTTTTTACGTAAATTACTAAATTACCGGTAATTGTCATTGAATTTCAGTCCATTTTTTTTAAAGACAACTCGCACACTAGGAATAAATCCAGTGTCGCGGGGGACTTTACAAACGTAAATGAAACGGACAAAAAGAACACCCAGACTCAATTTGTAAATCACTCAAAATGTCATCCCATGTGGGGATCGGACCCACAGTACTCAGCGTAGTAGTAAGCAGCGTGACGACTGCATAAACCACTACGCCATCCGTGCAGGCAAATGCATTTAACCAATACTATTTGTATATGTATGTATTGTATGATTTTTGTTACAGTTAAGTAAACTGAAATGCGCATTGAAAAGCAGAAGTAACAGTTACCAGTGCATCAATTTTCTTAAACTATCGTAGGTCTTAAACAATATTGGGTGTTTATTCCTCGAGGATGTAGGTTGCTTCGAAATACAGTTTGAAAATTACTCCCTTTTCAAGAATGGACTTTAAAGTGTAACATAGTTTGGAAATATTTATTATCGAATGCCAAAAGTATTCAATAAATCAAATTAAAGTACCCGAATTTATCTTGAAATATTTTTGAACTTCAGCAGTATTGTAGTATTAGAATGACCTGGTTTTACTTCATCCTGAGTTTTAAAGTGGCTTTGTAAGTTTATATTATATGTTAAGAGTTTTGTAAACGTTCCAATAGAAGAAAGAAAGAAAGAAAATATATTTTTATTCCTAAAATACACGACAGCTTCATCTAACAAATTTTCTCAACTGTAAAAATACTTTTAAAGCAAAATATAGGATACTAATTACATAAAATATAAATTGAATACAAGTAGCAACCCTGTGCTAAAATGTAGAGTTTTAGATGTGCCGTGTGTAGATATCATGGAAGACGTAATGTATTTCAATACGTAATATCGGTTCATTCTGTAAACCAAATCTGCCACTATATTACATATATGTGTATAGTGGCAGATTTGGTTCATGGTGGCATCATTAAAAAAACCCCAACACAAAAAAAAACAACAACTGCTCATTGAGAATGTTCTAATAAGCCCAAACATGGTATAGATGCTGTAATTTTCTGAGGAGTTGGCTATCCCGCAGACTACTTGATACAGTAGCAAGTTCCAGGTTACCATGTTGTGGAAATACCATCAAAGTAACAATATACCAAATTTCAGATCAATCGGACCAGTGGATTTTAGTGACATCCCTTTAACACCTTGGAAGTTAGCTGATGATCTTCAACACATTGGCTTTCGAACAAAAAGTCCGCATTGAAATTGGTCCATCCGTTCGGAAGCTATGATGCCACAGTCAGACTTACACTGATACAGAGGTTAAACTTATAACACTTCTGGTTTTCCGTCGTAGGTTAAAAATTACCACTTTTCATTATAAGGATAAAGAAATTATTTATTTTACACATGTAGCTTAGATAATGTTATATATGTTGGCACACATGTCCACATGTGTGCTTGTGGCAAACATTAGCACGCACGCACTTACAAACACCGATACACACATGGCCGCACACAAACACGCATGTACGCCTATGACTTATACATACAAAACAAAATATTGATTTTGTTAACTTCAAGTGAAACTTTTCCTGCACTACTCAATCAAAATGCTCTGTATTGTCCACTGGAGACTGATAATAAAATATATTTAATGCTCTATCGAAGCAAATCCCTTTTGCGCTATTTCGAACTTAAATTGCTTGCATTTTTCAGTACCAAGTTTAACTTAAAGCCAACATAATGAGTTCTATCTCTATTGTGTGAATTTTCTAAGTATTGCTTACTTTAAAACATTTTTCATACTCATTATTTATAGGAAAAGCTTTCTACAAAGGAAAATCTCTCTTCAATGTATT